CCCTAATGGGGAAAAACACATATATTTTGTTTTGGGATAAATAGCTAAGGCTTTTGCAGGGGGGAAAGTGTCATGAGAAAATAGAAAATATCTCTGATGTCTATAGCACAGATAATACCTAAAAGTAATAAAATATTAAAGGGCAAGAAGGCATATCTGTAAAAAATTACAGTGCATATGTTGGATGAAAAGCAAAAATTATGGGATTAAATGGTGGTGTTCTCCAAATGGCACTTGGTACAAATATTTCTTTTCAAATTCAGTTTCTCAGAGGTGTGGCTTCAGATCCCTGAGCACTTTCAACATTATCTTTGCCTTTATTCTTCTTCATTCGTATAAATACAACTGTTAAAATTACACCTGAAAGAGAAAACTCAGGGTCAAATAGATGGAATCTTAAAATGTACTGTCACATTTATTTATAAAGCAGTAAGTTCCCTGGTAGGAAAAAGTGACGCATACAACTTCATTTATGCTTGTGGTTCAACAAAATTGTTTTGTCCTGGTGAAAAGGGGATTGTAGGCCTTGACCTTCTTGGATAAGTCAGCTTATCACTTTTCTTATTGTCAGTAATTATGCACCAAGTCCTAAATCATATCTAAGCTGGTAGCTATTGCTTGGTCTCTATTAAAGAATATAGAATCTAATGCCTGCACTACTCCGAAAATTAAGTGTGTAAGCATCAGACAGAGTTCCTGAACTTTGTACATAGTCAATAAATGTTGATTTCAGTCTTTCATCCCTTTCCACAGAAGAAATAGTCCAATCAGAACAACCAGAAAGTTGTTCTCAGACGTGTTCACCTGCCTAAAGCCTACTTTCACTGTGTCCACATCAAATAGCACATTTTCTTTGTCACCTTCCTCATGGCTCCAGATTGAGACTATCTAACCTCTGAGATTTTTCCCATGTCTGAACTCCTTTAAAATTACATAGTGCCTTTTAGCACTAAATGTGTGCTATAAATCAGAGACCGATACGGAAAAGGGAGTAGTGGTTTTTTAATTAATGTGGCAGCTGAGTTCACAGGAGGAAGCCTGGCAGAAAAGACTGGATGCTCAGAGACCCATTTAGAAACTTCAACAAGGACCCTGGCAGGTGGCCCCTGGTGGCTCTGGAGCCCCTCCAATCTGGGGGGGGGGCCCTACCCCCACACACCTCTGCCACCCACACCAGAGGCCTACATGCTACATCAGTGCATCAGCAGCAGTCACAACTGAACACCACATCCAGCTGAGCCAGGGGTCTCTCCCACATACCAGTGTAATCATGACAATTGTGCCACTGGGCCCCATAGAACACCTCTACATAAGGGCACTCTCAATGCTGTAAGACATGGCTGATCTACCTAATATGTACAGTAAACACAGAGACTTAGGCAAAAGAGGAGACCGAGGAATATGTTCCATACAAAAGTACAAGATAAAACCCCAGAAAAAGGACCCAATTGGAGCTAATGTTATCTCCAATGAATGGAGATAAGCAATCTACCAGATAGAGTTCCAAGGAATGATCATAGGACGCTCACTGAGCTCAGAAGTATGGATATACACAGAAAGAACAAAAAGATGGAAAATGTAAAAGAGAACCAATAAGAACTGAAGAATACAAGAAACTGAGATGAAAAAACGCAAAGAGGGAATCAATAGCAGATTAGCTGATGAAAAACAAACAAACAGATAAGTGATATGGAAGACAAAGTAATGGAAATCACCCAATTAAAACATCAAAAAGAATAAAATAAATTATCAGGAGAGTAAAAGAGACCTCTAGGACATCAAGTTTACTAACATTTGCATTAAAGAGGCTCCATAAGGAAAAGAAAAAGGACAGAAAACCTATGTGAAGAAATATCGGCTGGAAAATCTCCATAGCCTGGCAATGGAAACAGATTTCCAAGTAGAGGTGGGGAACCTTTTTTCTGCCAACAGCCATTTGGATATTTATAACATCATTCGTGGGCCATTTAAAATTATCAACTTATAAATTAGCCTGCTATAGTTTGTCAAACATTTAATTAACTCACCCCTAATGCCTTGGCAGGGCCAGACCAAATGATTTCAAGGGCCTTATATGACCTGTGGGCCAGACATTCCCCACCCCTGAACAGGAAGCACAGACAGTCCCAAACATGATGAACCCAAAGAGACCCACACGAATAATTTAAATGTCAAAAGTTAAAAACAAAGAGAAAAATCTTAAAAGTAGCAAGAGATCAAAAGTTACATACAAAGAAATTCCCATAAAACAATCAGCTAATTTTTCATCAGAAACTTTGCAGACTGGAAGGGAGTGGCACAATATATTTAAAGTGACGAAAGGAAAAACCTATAACCAAGAAATACTCCACCAGATAATCTTACCCTTCAGAACTGCAGGAGAGAAAATGAGTTTCTCAAACAAGCAAAAGCTAAAAGAGTTAATCATCACTGCACTGGCAGTGCAAGAAATATTAAAGAAACTTCTGAGAGCTGAAAAGAAAAGGCCAAAATCGATATAAGAAAATATATAAAAGGAAAACATCAGAGGCAAACATGTAGTAAAACTAGTGGATCAACCACTTATAAAGCTAATATAAATGTTAAAAAAACAAAAGCTGTAAAATCATTTATATCAACAATAATTAGTTAAGAGACACAAACATACACACACAAAGAAAGATATATAATGTCAAAAACATAACGTGGGTGAGGGATAGAGATGTAGTACTTTTAGAAAGCATTTGAACTTAAGCAATCAACAACTTAAAATAGACTATTATATTCTATTATATAATCTCATGGTAACCACAAACCAAAACCTTTAATAGATACACACAAAAATAGAGAAAGAAATCTAAATATAACACTAAAGAAATTCATCAAATCACAAGGGATGAAAGCAAGAGAAAAAGAAAGGAACAGAGAAGAACTACAAATATAACCAGAAAACAACAAACAAAATGGCAAAAAACACATACCTATCAATAATTACTTTAAATATAGACTAAATGCTCCAGTCAAATGACAGAGGGGGCGCTGAAAGGAAAACATATCAAGACCTATACATAATGTTGTCTACAAAAGACCCACTTCAGATATTTAGATATTCACAGACAAAGTGAAGGGATGGAAAAAGACATATGCAAATGGAAATTAAAAGAAAGCTGGGGTAGCAACACTTAGACAATATAGACTTTAAAACAAAGATTGTGAGATGAGACAAAGAAGGGCATCACATAATGATAAAGTGATTAATCCAACAAGAGGATGTAACACTTGTAGATATCTATGCACCTAATGTAGGAGCACCCAAATATGTAAATAAATAAAATACTAACTGACATAAAAAGAGAGGTGGACAGTTATACAATTATAGTAGGGACTTTAATACCCCACTTTCATCAATGAATCGATCATCCAGAGAGAAAATCAACAAGGAAAATTTGACCTTAAAGGACATATTAGACCACGTTAACTTAATAGATACATATTAACATATATATATATTTTTTAAGTGCATACGAAACATTCCCAGGATAGAACACATGTAGATCACAAAACAAGTCTCAATAAACTTAAGAGACTGAAATCATATCAGGCATCTTTTTGACTACAACGGCATGAACTAGAAGTCCACAGTGGGGATAAAACTGGAAAAAAACACAAATACATACAGACTAACCAACATGCGTCTAAACTACCAAGGAATCAAATAGGAAATTAGAAACTACCTTGAAATAAATGAAAGCCCAACTCTTTGAAATGTATGGGATGCAGCAAAAGTAGTTCTAAGAGGGGAGTTCACAGCCATAAAGGCTGACTTTTAAAAAAAAGAATGAAAAGAAAATCCCAAGTAAAAGTAAAAAATCTAACTCTAAACCCAAATGAAATAGGAAAGAAAGAACAAACGCAAAGTAAAGAGAAGGGAAAAATAATTAAGATTGGAGCAGAAATAAATGAAATAGGAATTTAAAGAAAGAGGTGGTTCTTGGAAAAGAAACAAAATTGATAAAACTTTACCCATACTCAAAGATAAAAAGAGAAGTGGCCCAAAGAAATAAAATCAGATATAAAAGAGAAGGTGCAACTGAAACCACAGAAATACAGAGGATCACAATAGATTACTATGAATTATAATTATACACCAACATTTATGCTTTAAAGCCTCATATTTCCCAAAGTAACCAATCAGGCAATGATAGGAAGAGGGTGATACTAAAACAGTACCTCCAACCAGGAAGGTTTGATACAGTTTACTGGTGACCTATATTCTTGGCTATATCCCAGGTTGCCATTTGAGCAGCCACCAGAGCAACCCATTAAGACAGACCCGTAGGTGAGCTAACGTTTCTAAGGACCAGAACAGAAATCCTTGAATCTGAGAGATGACACTCACCAATGACCAAAAATGTGGTCAGGAGTATGCCAACGGTCGAGCCCACGGTAGGTATCCCAGGCATATGACCTACTGGCCGGAAACACCTTCCTTCCACACACGAGCAGAAAGTGACTGAAAAGCAGAACAGGATTTGGTAGTTTAGGTTTTTAAGTAAACAATTGCAGAGTCTCATATCGAAGGTGACAAATCTTTCAAACTACGCTTGGGAACAGACACTATCCCAGGGTGTCTGCAGCAAAATGCCTACCTGGTAAAGAGACAGTCCCCTCCAAGGGTGGCCGGCCTCCATCGTTGATGCGGATTGGGACGTTATAAACTCTCTCCTCGAAGCGGGTGTGTTTGGTGGAGAGTCTGGCATGAGTGCCTGTCAGAATAAGGGTAAAATGAATGGCACTTTCGGTACCAGATCAGCAG